TATATGCATTTCAATAATGATAATTTTTGAAGAAGATGAAGAAGATGATGATGATGATGATGATAGCTGAAATGATGATTCTGGGATGATGATGAGAATGATGATAACGAGGACGTTGTTGATGATGAGGATGATAATGACGAGGATTGCACATAAAAAACCAGGTGAATCAACTACTAAAAATGGCGAAATAAATAAAATATTCATGTTGTCGTAAGATGTGTTTGTGTGCTTGTGTGTGCGTGCGTGTGTGCGTGTATGTGTATGTATGTGTGTGTGTGTGTATTGTAGAGAGAGAGAGGGAGAGAGAGAAAGAGAGAGAGAGAGAGAGATAAATAAAATAGTATGGATACTTACGTACATACAAATTTATACATAGATGTATTGGTTGAAAAAGAAAATTTCATAGGTAAAAGAAGAATCGATTACAGACCTCCTGGTAGAGATCATTCGTCTGCTAAAAAACATAATTAATTATAATTTTTTCTTCAAGATGTCGTCTTTTCATCGTCTCCATAAGTTAATAATTTCATAGTCTTGGGAGAGGAGGACAAAGTTTTGAAAACATTTTTTTGAAAAAATGTTCTTGAAAAAAAATTTCTCGTAACCGTTCAGTAGGATAAAGTACTACCAGTTAGTAATTGAGTCCCTTGCGTTTGTCATGTGTGTGTCTGTGTGTATGTGTATGTGTGTCTGTGTGTGTGTCTCTCTGTGTGTACGTGTCACTCTGTGTGTGTGTGTATGTATCTTTCTTCCTGCATTCATTCATGTGTGCGTGTGAGTTTTTGCATTTGTGTGTTCGTGTCTTCTTAGGTTTTGTTGATAGCAAATCAGGTTTGTTAGATAGCGCTCGTGAATAACGATTACTTCATGATAAAAAATTATGATAAGGAAAATAAGAATATTATTGTCATTATTATTATATAATAACCAATTTTAATTGTTAAAATTTAAGTATTAAAACTAAATGAATAGTCCAAAATTAAGTGAGTAACTCATAGTAAGGAACATCGCGTGTAAAATGGTGAAATAATTAAACAGGTCTGATGCGGTCTAAACTAAGGAGTAGTTATAAAAATGTGTCCGATGTTCTAACAAAGAAATGTTTCTAAAAAAACTAGTCATTAAAATGAAACATACACACATATTTTGTATTAATCGAAGTATGCAGAGTGTTTGAGATGCAACTAATCACAAATTCAACTTTTAAAAATATGAAAACTCGAAAGAAAGAATGGAAAACCGATTCAAAGATTTTGATTTGGTGCTCCGTGTCTAGTCCAGCCAGCAGCCACTCAGACAACATTCGCAGCACTGATGGTTTCCACGCAGGCACCTTTTTTGATCAGATCATCCAACTGCCTCCTGTCCACTACCTTTATCTCCACCCCACACGGGTGACCAGCACTTGTAAACAAACGAATTTTCGATTGGTCAGTGGCAGGGGCTGACGTGTGCGCCAGGTACCAACACAGTCCGGAAAAGACGGCGATAGCTCCAAATCCCATCACCACGCTGGCCGCCAGTGTCCACGGGCCATTGCGACCCAGCGCGAATGAAACTAAGAACGCGCACGTCCCGCTAAGCATGACCAAGCCAGCTATGACTAAGGAAAGCGGTGAAACGGGCTTGCTGTTGGCTGAGGTAGTTGTTATCGGGTTGACTTGAGGAGTGAAGGGATCGAGAAGAGCTGAAGAACCGTTCTGACCGAAAACAGAGGAGACGGTTGACGAAAGTCTGTCTATCTGACTGAGTCTGCTGGATTTTTCCTTCTCGTGCTGCAACTTCGAAATGGTTTCCTTCTTTCGTTCGTTTAAACTCGCGTTGCTTGAGCAGCCGCTGCTGTTTGTGCTCGATCGTTTGTTGGATTTTTTGCGAGATTTCTTTTTCAATTTCACCTCAATCTGGGCTGGTGTTGTCGACGAGAGGGATGCTTTCTTCTCGCTCAACTTTTCAAGCGAGCAAGCTTCGTGCGGAGTGAGGAAGTCTTCCGGCGTGTTGATGGTAGTTGAAGCGGCGGTGATGGCCGTCGTGTCGATTTTGAACAGACAATTATCCGTCGGAGTGATTGCACTTGAAGAAATGTGCGCGTCGAATGTGGCAGACGATTTCGAGAAGACAGAATCGGACGGTGAGATGGCATCATGTTGGTCCGAGGTTTTACTTTCCACTGACAGTCTCGATTTGCTACTGCCGCGATGGTGAAGTTGGTGGCTGTGGTGGTGGTGGTGATGAGGAAAAGTAGGTCGTGGCTGTCGAGAACGAGGCTTGCCCAGTTTTAGTCGAGACTTTGTGGTCGGCGTCAGACGGATTTTTTCGTCGGCTTGTCTCTGTATGGCCTCCAGGAGAATGTTCTCCGCGTTTTCCAGTTGGCTGGGACTGGAAATGTTGTTGTTGGGGTGGTGGTCGGATTTCACTTTATCATCCATGACTATGAAGAAGGCTGCCTTCTCCAAACACTTAGAATTTCTTTGTTTCGAGTACTTGGCCCTGGCGGCCAGTGCCAGCCTGGCTGCCTCCTCCACAGAGGCGCTACTCATGGGTCCTGAAAAATTGTATGGTTCAATTTTTAATTTCAAATATTTAATTACTCAATTAATTTGTCGCAAATTTTTTTAAAGTTCAATTTTCAATAAAATTTTGTTATAACAATTTTACAGATATACAGTCAATTGTAGTAGAAAACAAAAGTTAATTTGGAAAATTTCTTACTGGTTTTAGATCCTTCTTCATCTTCCTCCTCCTTCTCTTCTTCATCGCTATCATTTTCATCCTCATCTTCTTCTTCTTCAACATCTTCCTTGCTCTGACTAACCACAGTCTTGCTCCTTGCTCTTCGATATTTTTCAATCAGAGCTTCTGTTTTCGTGCTACGAACCTTCTTATTAATATCAAAAGCAAATTTTGACTTTGAGGTTTCCTTCTTCTTCGCAGAGGCATGTTGTTGTTGCTGTTGGTGGTGGTAGTATTTGAATGGTGGCCGCGGAGAGCCCGCCATGAAAGATGTCAACCTACCAAACGACGAATAAGATTTGGCCCTGGGTCTCGTCTGCGATGTAGACGGCGACGTGGCCCATGACTTCAAACTTTTATTACTCTCAACCGGTCTCACCAGATTATTTTGAACGCCTTCGCAAAATTCCGCATCCGTGCGGTCCGACTGGTCAATTTTAGTCGGATTTTTACAGTTTTCCGTGCTGTTTTCTGCCGTGGCGAATGATTGGGTGAATGTGGTAACACTAACTTCGTCAACATCAGTTTCATCGTAATGCTTGAAGTCGCCGCGTGGATTCAACGAACATAACTCCGTGCTACTAGAAGCGATCCGATTTCGAGCCATATCCAGTTTGATTGAAAGTTATTCACCAAACTTCACATCGTTATAAATCTTTCCAGTTGTAAATTTTCCACAAGTCATGAAACTATTCGTATTAAACGCCACTACCCTATATTTATAGTATTTCAATTTTTAACCTAAAACGTTTCTGTGAAGATTTTAAAAATATGTTTTCTTTAATTTCAAACCAAGTAGAATCAGCCGCGTATGTGAAGTCTGAAGTGTTTGCTATCAACAAAGGCCAGAAGACGATCCAGACGTCAAGCAGTCACTTTAAGAGTCTTATGATGATGTGCTGGTGATGGTCAGCAAGTCATGTTGATTAATTCTTTCATCATCTTCATCATCATCACCACAATTACCTATATTATTATCTGTATTATTATTATTATTATTATTATTATTATTATTATTAGCAGCAGTAATTATATATTTTTTTCTTCTAATTATAATTATTTATTGAATATTATCTTTACGCGTTTTTTTAATTTAACTATTTCATCTGGTCTCGTACGTGTATCAGTGTAGTACAATGCAAAATTAAATAAAAAATTTAATACTCCGCCAAGATTTTTTTTTTTTACAAAATTATAAAATCAACAAATTTAATTCAAAAATTAAAAATTAAAATATTTGAAAATTCTCAAATAACACGGCGCTGACCAAGCTGATGTCTAGAACAAAAAAAACCAACCCTAAACTACTAACCGAATGAAAATGGCATTGGTGAATGGAACGCATATAAACCTTACTGCTACTACTACCTCCAGCATCCTCGCATGCTTCCTCTCCTCTCCATCCATGCTCTCAACATTTTTATCCCTCATCGTCATCATTATCATCATTGGCGTCATCATCTATTTCATCTCAACCCTCTCTTCCGTCAACATCTTTCTTATCACCCTCGCCATCATTATCATCTTTTTCATCACCGTCAGTTTCTTATCATCATCTCCAACTGCATGCATGTATGATACTGAACCAGACTTATACATAAACGTTTCGTGTATGCGATACAAAATACAAACACAATACGTATTGATAGTTAGGTATCGATACAATGTCCGTAGAGAAACGTAGGCAGATATAGACAAATGCGAACAGATATAGACATAATGTTCAGAAGTTAGAAGGTATTATGAAAAAACAATTAATTCATACCTGACGCTGAAGCAACCAACAAAAATGCCTACAATAACAATGGACTGTGCAATTGTGCATGTGTTGTTGTTGCTCGTTTAATTAAGAAACGGTCTTCATTACTGTTTTGTCTGATATTGTTGTTGTTTTGCTGCTGTTGTTGGGATTGTTGTTTTGGCAGTAGTTTTTGTTTTTGATGTTAATGAAGTGACAGATGGGCTGGTTAATTGTTTTCTTTTGTTTTTTTTGGTTGGTTGTTTGGTTGTTTAGTTGGTTGGTTGGTTGTTTGGTTGATCGATTAAATATGCGGTTCTCTCTCTCTCTTTTTCTCTCTCTCTCTTTCTCTCTCTCTCTCTCTCTCTCTCTCTCTCTCTCTCTCTCTCTTTTTATACAGTTTACAAAGCAGACATCTTATAGATAATTTTAAGCAGACATCTTAGATAATTTTACATGCAATTTTAATCATTGCCAATAAACTTAATATGAAAAATTCAGCATGTTCTCTACAATGAGGCTAGCTAAAAATAACCTTTTTAATATGTCATATTTAAAAATTATTTTGAAAAACTAAAAAATTACATTTCTAAGAAATATTTCACGTTTTTATTCTTTTTCGTTCAAATAAAACATTCATCGGTAAATTATTCAATGGTGGAAAAAATAGTTAACTATTAGTTTAGTTCACTTTTAAATATTATGTTTAAAAGTAAAATGTTTTTTCATATTGTTGCCAGATTGAAATTTTCTCACGCTAAAATTACTAAAAAATATGTCTAATTGTTGCTAGTTTTGTAATTATTATTTTAAAATGTCATAAATTATTTTTTCATTTTTTAAATAATAAAATACAAAAGATGATCGAGAACTCACAGTGTTCTGCCAAGTAAGATTTTTTAATTTATTTTTATTTTTTGTATTAAAAATAAATAAATAAATTAATTAATAAATTAATTAATTATGATTTATTAAATAAATTTAAATACATAATTTGTTTGCAACCAACATTTATTTAAAATTTTGAAGATTAAGAAAAGATTGGGTAAATATGTAATTATTTTGTTGAATCTTAAAAGACTTAATATTAATTAAAATTAATTAATTAAACATTTTTTAATTTAAATGTTTACTAACTAATTATTTAAATTTAAAACAGTTCACAAGAGAAACAGACAGTCAGGTAAATGACAGTATTGACCTGAGTACTGCATTATTATCTATTTATCATTTTTCAATTCATAAATTTAAATTTTAAATGTGTTTTTCACAATTCCAAATTCATTAATAATTTGATAATTACAGTGAAATGTAATATATTCAATATTTTCTATTCAGTCCTTTACTTTTCTTTGAATTTCAGCCTCAAGGAGCTAGTGAGAAAATATTTACAAAAACCATTACATCAAACAGTTCTTATACTGCATGCTAAAGTGGCTCAAAAATCATATGGAAGTGAAAAAAGGTACTTCTAAATGCCTAATCAACTAAAAAACAAAACAAAGATCTAATAAATAAATAAGTTAAATCATTAAAACATTGATTCACCTAACAAATTTTCAGATTCTTTTGTCCCCCACCGTGCCTATATTTATCTGGGGATGGTTGGAAGTGTAATAAAGAGGGCGCCGAAGATAATGGGGATCGTTCCGAACCGACCAATCACATTTGTGCATATATGGGTATAGGAACTAGCAGTAAAGAGATGGTTCATATGCCCTTGGAAGCCAGGGTATGTAAAGTTTTTCTAATCCCATCCTTTTTTATTTATCCACTGCAATCGTCCATCCTACACTTTGTATCATCATCAAATTTTAACCATTCACTCATTCCTATATTTATTTATTTATCCAATATTCCATTGATTCATCCATCCATCCGTTTTTCGTTCATCAATCCATCCATCTGTTTATTAATAATTTTCATTAACTCATCCATCAATGAATCCTTCCATCTATCCACTAATTACCAATCCATCAGAACTTCTGCGCTGCAAAGACGCTATACATCTCCGACTCGGACAAACGGAAGCACTTCCGACTATGCGTCAACCTCTTCTACTCAGATGGTCAGAGCATAGGCTCGTTTGAGGGCAACAACATCAAAGTCATTTCTAAGCCCTCCAAGAAGAAACAATCCCTCAAGAATGCTGATTGTTAGGACTTGTTTCCATTATTTACTACTTTACCCTTTTCATTCATTCATTCATTCATTCGTCCATTCATTCGTCCATTCATTCGTCCATTCATTCGTTCATTCATTCATTTGTTTGTTCATTCGTTCATTTGTTCATTTAAAATTTATTTATTTGTTCATTCATTTTGTAATTTATTATTAAGTCAGCAGTATTAATAATAAAATATTCTGAATATTCTTTAATAAATGAAAGAGTGAATCAAATGTCTGAAGTAAATTTAATTCATCTATATATAACTCTCTAATGCTTATTTAATGGTATGATGCTTAACAATAAAAGCGATGAATTACTCCTTATAATTATTCATATTAATAATTATTATTATTATCACTATTATTATTATTATTATTATTTCCCTTCATCATCATCATCATCATAATTTTGTTTTCATTGTCGCTAGTTTTGAAATGTACGCATGTATTTAAAATGACTTACGACACTCAGTGTGCATAGAGTCAGGCACAAAGATAGCCCTATTCAATAGGCTGAGGTCACAGACAGTCAGTACTAGATATCTCTTTGTGGATGACGGGAACTTCCATGCAAGTTCCATGCACTGGGGGGCATTCGAGATTAACCTCGGTTAGTTTGTAATTAGGGATTAGTGAATAGAGATGTGCCGACCCTATAATAGTTATAGTATGTGAATGTTAATTTATTGTTAATTTTCCAATTAGTCGATGATAATGCTTCGGAGTCTAATGAATTTACGATGGAGTCCGGTTTCATACATTATGGCATGACTGTCAAGTTGGTCTGCGTTGTTACTGGCATAGCATTGCCGTTGATGGTTGGTTGGTTTGTGGTTGGTTGGTTGGTTGGTTTGTGGTTGGTTGGTTGGTTTGTGGTTGGTTGGTTGGCTGGCTGGCTGGATGGTTTGTGGCTGGCTGGATGGTTTGTGGTTGGTTGGTTGGTTGGTTTGTGGTTGGCCGGTTGGTTTGTGGTTGGTTGGTTGGTTGGTTGGTTGGCTGGTTGGTTGAATAAATGATTGCTAAATTGACTGTTCTCTATATAATAATTTTTTTTTACTGCATTTATTTACCATGCTGCCTTATTTACCCAAATGAAACACTATCCATTTAATCACAGCCAATCACGAACATCTATTTAATCAGGTCGTGCATAAAGTCGACAAGCAGACAATCTTATTGGACGCCGAAGAGCCAGTGTCCCAGTTACATAAATGTGCATTCAGATTTAAAAACCCTCACTCAACCGAGAGAATGTATCTCTGCTTGTCTCAGGAAAAAATCATTCAATATTTGGTTAGCTTTTGTCACCAATAACCCTTCTTAACAGTTTATTTCACCCGAAATTTCTCACCCTGTAGGCCGCTCCTTGCCCAAAAGACCCCACAAAAGAAATGATTAGTGACGGAGCGTCGTGGACCATAATTAGTACGGAATCCGTCAGGTATTCATTCTTTGACGGGTACTCCCTCCCTAATATACCCGTGACTCCGGTACCAGAAATTGGTATAATATCTGTAAGTTGGAGTTGGTCTGGTGTCCGTGAAAGGCTGCTCTTTGTCTCTCTCTTTCTAGCTCAGTTTGATATATCGCTCTTTTAGATAATAGCAATATCTCTATGACGCTGTTGCATTTTGTTCATATCCTCCCGTCGTATCGCCATCATCAACATCATCATCAACATCATCATTATCACAACTTCCAGGTGAATGGAACGAGCAAGATGGGTTTCTTGGAGATAAAGGGCAGAAATTTTGTGCCAACGATGCAGGTTTGGTTTGGAGATGTTCCGGCCGAAACAACCTACAGGTGTGCGTGCGTGTGTGTGTGTTTGGTGTGTGTGTTGTATGTGCGTGTGTGTTTTGTGTGTGTGTCTGTGTATGTTAAGCTATTTCGAAAATCTCCGATTCCATCAGGCAGGCTGGCACGTTTGTACCTATTATTTTAAGGAGTAAAAAATGGAATTAATCGGATCCAAAAATGAAATAAGCTTATTTTTAAGAAACACTATTCAAAACTAGAACACGTAATGAGTAAGAAACACTAATCAAAGCTAGAACACGTAATGAGTTAGTTCACTTTTAAACATTTAAAATTTAAACTTGCAGGTCGGATGAAATTATTTTATGCATCGTTCCAGACGTCAACCTCTTCGCCACTACTCCCGCCTACGTCTTCATCAGTGACCATGACCCTGACCCTGACCCTGACAGTTCAAATAATGATAATAATAATAATACAAATAATATAAACAATAATAATTTTAATGATAATAATAGCAACAATAATAATAATAACAGTAATAATAATAATAGTAGAGCTAATGGGAGAAGTCTGAAGAAGTTGGAGGTGTGATTATAAGTATACCCATTCAGCAATTAATCAGTAAACAATGAACAATACAATTAATCGTTAAATCAACTATTTATTAAAATCAATCAATCAATGAATTCTAGTTTTTCAACCAATCGATTATTTGAAATTTTGTATTAAAACATCTGTCATTATTCATTCGTTCATTCATTCAGTCGACCTTTAACCAATCCTCTAACGTTCAACCAGACGTGCTCAAGTTAACTGTTCAATCAGTTTTCAAATCAATCAACCAATCAATCATTCAGTCATCCAGCTTAAACAATCACCCAACCAATCATTCAGTCATCCAGCTTAACCAATCAACCAATCAATCATTCAGTCATCCAGCTTAACCAATCACTCAATCAATCAACCAACCAGTCATTCAGCCATCCATTTGAACCAATCAATCAACCAACCAATCAAAATCCAGGTTCCAATAATAATGGTAAGATCAGATGGAGTCATTTATCCAACGGGGGAAACGTACACCTACTCATCCCTCGATCTGCCTGCGTGTCTGGTTCCGCCCGCCCCCCAAGGTCCACTTTACCACCACCACCATCTCCACCAGCATCATCACCTTCTCCACCATCATCATCAGCAGCAGCATCTTCACCACAATCCTATCCAGATACATCCATCCATGATACTGCCGACGGCCCATTATTATTTGAGTCAATGGAAACAATGAGAACGTGTTTTTTTTCGTCATTTTTGTTTTTATTCTTTTTGTTTGTTATTAGTTTAATTATTATTCTTGTTATTCACTATTATTTCACTTATATTTTCTATCTTGTTTAAAAGTATCTAGTTGCCTTTAAACATTCAAGAGCTTTCTTTATAATGATGACTATAAGAAAAATATACATCTAGGGTTGAACAGTTGTTTATTTTAGTATATATGTGTAATTAATCTATAATACTGTATAATTATTGGTATAATTTTACATTATTTTTGTCTATACATATATATATATTTATATATAATTAATCGACAATATACATGATTAAATACAATTTTTGATATTATTTTGCAATTATTTCTTATTAAGATAGATTGAATGAAGAGTTACCTTGTTAAACACTTGAATGTTGTTACATACGCGTATTGTTACATCTGAACTCTATATACAGGCTTAACCTATCTTACATTTGTTGTGTATGCGTGTGTTGTACGTTAGTGCCTTCTAGCAGATACTTTCAACTTTAATATTAATCCTTTTTATTGATAATTTAACTACTGTATTAATTAGGTACTGTTTATTAAATACGGATCTTATATTTACATACATTTACCTACCTTTTGTACATGCAGTCTTTTTATATAGCGATGTTATATTCACGTTGTTTTGTTATTAATTTTCATATTTCACAAACGACTTGATATTTTTACATGAGGAATTTTAGCCTATGTTTTACTCTGTATATGGTTAATCAAGTAAAAGCTTTTTAGATGATATATTTGAATTCTTGATATAAATATATTTGAAATATTTGCCAAACATTCTTAAAAAAACGAGACAGCTGTATAAATTAACTATATGACACAAACCAAAAACTGTTTACCTATACAGCCATAATAAAAAACTTATAAAATACATCTAAAAAATGTCACCATGGATCAAAAGATAAGCAAACTTGAAAAAAAATTATCAAAAATGAAAAAATACATCATCATCTACACTGATAAACTAAAGAAACTTTAAAATGAACAAAAACTGACAATCAGATAACGAAAGATATTTTAAAGATATCTGCATTTGGGTTTGGTATCGAAGGTGTTCTGCATTGGAAACCTTTTTTGTTCCATCCACTTTTCATCATCATGGAACCACCTTTCCTTGTACCAACGGGCTATTTCGGCACTTTCAACGGCTGGACATCTGAAACAATCTGTTCAGTATATAATAAAAATCGTTATTAATTTGATAAAATAACAAAATAAGAAGATATTGATTGAGGGTAGATGGTAGAATAACCCTGAGCTCTCAAATTAAAAATTTAAAAAATATTTGCAATAGGAAAGGTTAAAAAAATAACGCCTAACTAACCAGGTTTCGTAGCATGAACTCGTTTCAAACGTGAATATTCTTCATAGGATCTGATCTTAATGCAGTCCGGCATTTTGCTGGGGCCGCACATGTTCAGAGCTGTCCGTGACAAAAACGGATGAAGTCTGGAAAAATCGTAATAATCAAGATAGTTTTTATCTCTGTACAGACCAGATCTGAAAATGGAAGTTGCTGTCACTCCCGCACATTCTAATTTCTCCCTCAAATAATCCTGGTACCCCAGGAACGTTATTCCGTGGTCGGCCATTTTATTTGTCCTTTTTAAGTTACTGCTTAAGACGACGAGACGCGATAGTACGAAACGAATTTCGTGGAAATTTTATAAATTATTAAAAACAAATTGTTTATATTTAAACGTTAAAATGTTTTTACAAAAAAAACCTACTGAATAAACCAGATTGAATAAATTATTTAACTTTTTTTTCGCACGACCTGATAGATAATTCTTGTTAATTAGAACCGGAAGTAATTATTGTTTTTATTTTGGGTAGCAATTAACTTTATTTTTTTTGTCTCGGAGGATATTAATTTTACAATATATATGAATCAAACAATCAAAACTTTTAATTTAGTATGTCTACTTTTTTGTTTTTTAGTTTTTGCTAAAATTTCCGTTCGTCACCGAGTTTTCCTTCTGAGGTTAATTAACAACCCTGTTTGCACCCTCATTAGCAAAACTTGCCATAGATAGCTTCTAATCACAAGAGGAACTATCTGTAATTGTAAAAGATGTCCGGTGGGGGGCGCAAACAAGCACTGCGCTGCATATTGTCAGACGCTATTATAGAGCTTTGTCGTCGGGAGGCATTCTACATAACTGAACTCCGGATTGAAGGAACTATCTGTGTGGTTTCTGATAGATCATCTGCTCTCATCATTCAAATCACCGAACAGGTTGGCGAGAAATCTGCTTCTGAAATAGAACTGCCTGAAAATAGGCAAACTCCCCAGTCAGTATATACAGTGGCCGATGATGCAACCATTGCAGATGAAATTAGGGATGTACACAATATGAGTGACGATTTAGAGAAGGAAGATTTTGCAGCCGAAGAGGCCCAGATACACCAAATGGTCGTTAAAGTAAATATTGATAATTGCAGTAATGTAATGACCGTGATTAAAAAATTTTTTTTCATGCAACAATCATAAAAACTCCCAATACTAATTTATTAATAAAAATACCATATTGCTGATTGATTGCATGATAAACCAAACCCCAGCATCAAATATTATATTTAAATATTTTTCTCAATTAGGCAGGATTAGTGGAGAGGATGGAAGGAAAATACAACTGCCCATTCTGCCCCAAGAGATACAGATTCAAACATAGCTTGAAAGATCACATCAATAAACACACAGGTCTTCATCACACATTTTTCATAAATATTTTTATTTATTATAATAAAAATTATTAATTAATTATAATAAATATTGTATATGTATGCATGTATTTAATATATAAAGTAGACATCTTATATATATATGATCATCCTAATTCTATTAAAATAGGATGGGTAGTTGAAATGCAGTAATGCCAAATTACTTTTTCAATTATTCAAGTTGGATCAATTTAAATTTTTTTAAAATAAATAAATAATATATTTAAATATCCTTTTTTTATATTTCTAGGAAGCATTTATCTAGAAGTGCATTAAACTGATAGGCTGTGAAAATTTATTTTGTTCATTTTGCAAAAATATTTTCACAGATTTATGTGTGTTCATTTGAGTTATGTGTCAGTTTTGTTGGTGTATGTTTGTGTGTGCGTGCGTGCGCGTGTGGTGTGTGTGTGTGTGTTGTTGATATTTATGAGGATTACTTAAGAGAGAATTTATAATGTTAATAGCAATTGAATGTTGAACTATATATTTAATTTGCTTTTCCAGTATTGTCATCAATTATAAATAACCTACAACAGCAATTAGAGCAATAATAATTATTTTAATTACTATTTTCATTAATGCTATTATTATTATTATTATTATTATTATTTGTACATATCTACTCATGCCAGATGGTAATTATTAAGATTTTAAACTTTGATACCTTAAATCATTATCATTTCTGTGGTAGATGATTCAACAACTTTTTTTATTTAAATGTAGTTTAATTCTAATTTAACCTATTCCTGGTTTTATTTTGACCTGTTTGTATTTTGTTTTGAAATCATTATTTTAAAATTGAATTTTAGGTAATCGACCCCACCAGTGCAAGCACTGCTCACTGAGGTTCATACATTTGAGTAGTCTGTGTGCCCACGTTCGTAGGAGGCATTCTCAAGTCAGTGCAGTTGTTTGATTTGATTAGGGAAAGAACTTTATAGTTTAAAGTAGAATTATTTTTTATCTATGTGAGTGATAATGTGATGGATTAATTTTAGGTTGATTTGGTTTTTAGTAAAATATGTTTTTTAGTAAGTTCTATCCTAATCATTTGCCTAATTCATTGACTAGGTTAGAGTTGCCAACTTTCGGTGCAACATCTGCAACGACGTATTCGCTACAGAGCAGTTCCTGAAACAGCATCACACTTGGAAGCATAAGGAGGGTCGTACCAAAGCCATCATGAAAGGGGTGACCAGCATTTTCAATTCATTTGTTGTAGGGTTTTTGGTGTTGCCTGTGTTGTTTTGAATTAGTTGATATTCAAAAACTGCTGAATGTTAGCGTTATTTGTTTTAATTTTACCAGTTCTATGCCCATTTCCTATAGACAATTCAAAATTTTTTTTTTTTAAAACAAGGGTAAAGATGGTGATTTGTCGTTGATTGGAGGCAGTACGAACAACAACAACAACCACAACAACAGCTCCACAAACAATAACAACAGCAGCAGTAACAACAATAATGACTCAATAATTCGATGGTGCGAGATAACAGGGGCCCCAGACATCCCACAATTATTCTGGGACTCAGGTGGCAACAAACTTCGATCTTCTGGCAATCAAGACAGCAACAACAACAACAACGAAGGCATCGACGACACTCAACAGCAGAACATACTCTTCCAACAACAACACATCAAACTCGAACCAGGCGGTAATAGTAATGGTGCCGTGGGCGGGAGTGGCCGAAAAAACAGCAGCAGTGGTAGCTTAGGATCACCAAATTTCAATTTTCATCAGTCACCTCAGTTCAACCGCCAATCAAACTTTGGCTTCCCTTTCGGACCATCATCAACTCCGATCGGTAACTTTCCTAATTTCAGCAACTCTCAGGGGTCCAACTGGGGCGGTAGTGCCATCAGCCCCATAAATTCTGGTTTGGGAGGGGGTGAAAATTCGACCCTACGCAGGGCTGGAAATGGAAAGTTTCAATGTCCACACTGTGACAAAAGTTACAATTTTAAACATACATTGAAAGAGCATATAAACAAGCATTTAGGTCGGCTACTGTTTAATTTTTTTGTTTATTTTGACTTCTTGTTAAAAAATTTTTTGATTCGGTAATAATTTATTCAAAATTCCTGTAAGAGCAAATTGCACTGCTTGAGCCTGTTTTGTCCCACATCTAGTCCATTGAACTATCTGACCCTGTTTGATTATTTGCATTGTAATAAATTCTAGCCAACACGTTTTTTCCAATTAATGATTCATTTAATTTGTTCTCTTTTCATTCATTCATTCACTCATTGATTCATTTCTTAATTTGCTCATTTATTCATGCAGTTGTAGTCGTGTAGTCAGTCAGGTTGATATGCTTACTTTAACAATCAAATTAGTTTGAGGCATTCTTCAGACTATCACTATTATGAATAATTAGTGGAAGCATCAAAATAGCATGGCGTTCCAGAATTCTCTCTGCATGGTACATCACTATTTTTCATAATTTGTGACGTCATAACAGGTCGCCGACCAAATGTCTGCAAGCACTGTGGCGACTCATTCATCCACCTGGCCAGTTTGTGTGCCCACATCAAAAGGGCCCACGATGAGCACATGCCCACCGACTTCGTTTGTCGTATCTGCAATGAAAAGTTGATGAACTATCAGTCACTCAAGCAGCATTACACGTGGAGACATAGGTCGGTCAGTTGGTTGATTAGTCGATTGAATTGCTCAGTTGGTTGGATAGTTGGTTGGCTGAATGGTTGGTTGGTTGGTTGGCTGGTTAATCATTTGATTGGTTCAAGTTGTTTGGTTGCTTTCATCTTTAATTCTTGCTTTCATTTGCAATATAAGATGGATTGTAAAACTTATAACGGTTCATTCATTCAACTTTTTGTTCGTTCATCTATATTTTATTATTATTATCTATCGTTTGTTCATTCGTTCGTTCGTTCGTTCGTTCACTGCAGAGAAGCAAGAATGTTGATTGAAGGCAACACGCAGAACTTAGCCAACAATTCGTCTGCTCTCATTGGGGGAGGAGGAGGAGGAGGAGGAGGGATGAACATGGGTGCTGGAGGGCCCGGTAGTGTGGGGAGTGGGCCAGGGGGGCCTGGAAATGTGGGGAGTGGACCTGGTCTGCCAATGATGCCTGGTGCTGGCAGTCCCTGTATTGTGGATCGAAATAACAATAATAACAACAACAACAATAATAATAATAATTTAATTAATAATACTAACAACAGCAACAATAATAACAACACTAACAACAACAATAATAATAATAACACTAATAATAATAACAACAATAACGACAACAATGGAGGCATATCTGCATCGTCAGCTGCAGCCCATTTGTGGCAGCAGCAGATACTAGCAGCTCAGCAGCAGCAACAACAACAACAACAGCAGCAGCAAGACCTCGGCAATAACAGCAACAACAACAACAACCCCTCAACCCCACAACAGCTAATCGTTGACAGCCACACGCTACAGCAACAGCAGCTCCTGCTAGGTCTAGCCAAAGACGAGTACACGCCATCATCAAGCAACAGCAACAACAACAATGCAACAATGTCTAAGCAGCAGCAGCAAATGCAGCAGCAACAACAACAACAGCCAATGATAAAAGAGTTAGATTTTTTACAGGGTTTTGAGAGCTTTGCCCAGAGCATTGGGGTTAACATAGGGCTGGATTCTCATCACCTTCATCAACATCATCATCACCACCATCATCAGCAGCAACAGCAGCAGCAACAACGTCATCATCAGTAGTGATGGTGGTGATAATGATGATGGTGTCGACGACGATGATGATGATGGTGGTGATGGTGATGATGATGATTAGAGGCAGAGAGACAGCATATTGTATTCGTCATCATCGTCATCATTAATATCCATCTTCTCCCTATAGCATTCTAGTTTGTAAGTCAATCAAAAATAAAATGTAAGCAGCAACCACGGTTATCATCATCATCATCTTCTTCGTCGTCATCATCAGTCATCTTCGTCGTCATCATCAGTCATCTTATCAGTCATCTTATCGTCATCGTCATCATCATCTCTGACGTTCAAGCTCTTCATTGTTATCATATTATCAGTATATTGCTACCATCATCATATTCATCGTCGTCGTCGTCATCATAGCTATAAGGACAATAATAATAGTATTCATCATCGTCAACATCATCATCAACAAAACCATAGATAACGAAACGAAACAACATCCCCATCATAATCATCACTATCGTAGTCACTTTTATCATTATTAAGCAGACAGTTGCCAGCGTCAGTCTCAACATACAACTGTCATCATCAACATCATTATCATTATTGTTGTATTATTATTATTGTTGTTGTTGTTGTTGTTGTTGTTGTTGTTGTTGTTGTTGTTGTTGTTATTCACTCTATCATTCTTAGCCACACACGCGCGCGCACACACACACACACACTGAAAAACATTACCACAAACTATGAATGAATGTTGATGATGATGATGAGGAAGATGATGATGACCTATAAAAGGACAAGTGATGGCTACTCTTGTTATAATATATGACGATGCTAAATCATTAATAATGATAATAAATTAATATTTATATTAATAATATCAAAAGAATGATAATGACGACGACGATGATGATAATACTAATATTAAACTTACAGTATAAATATGACAATATCAATCCTATTCTAACTTATCTCTCTCTCACTCTCTCTCATTCTTTCTTTCTCTCTCTCTCTCTCTCTCTATATATATATATATATATATAGAGATATATATATATATATATATATATATATATATATATATATATATATATAGTAAAAGACAGTTATAATAAATAGAATTATTTATTGGTCACTAATCAAACCTTTTTAAGTAATGTAATAGTGTCAATATTACTATCGTTATGTTATATCCACTGTTCATAATATGCACACACTATATATATATATATATATATATATATATATATATATATATATATATATATATATATATGTAACCTATTTATTTGGTAATTGTTTCTATTTTTAGCTTTTTTACCAAGATTTTTATAACAAATATTTATTTATATATATATATTGTTATATATATACATATATATAGTATATATTTATGTTTATGTTTATGTTTATTTATATATATATATATATATATATATATATATATATATATATATATATATATATATATATATATAAGGTAACGTCTTGGTGTCGTCATTTTGATAATTAATTATATAGCGCTTGCGTTTTGATATGTTCTTTTTTTTCAATGTGCTGTTTTTGAAGTTTTGAATTTGTTTGAATTTTGTTAAGTTTTTAATTTATTTATTATATTGATTGCTTGTTTGTGGTTTGTTTGATTTTCTATGTTTGTATGTATCAGAGTAGAGTCGTAAATCGTTCATTCTTTCGTTCGCTCGTTCATCCATTCGTTCGTTCGTTCGTTCGTTCGTTTACTCTTTCTGTTACTTTTCGTTAATTCGTACGTTCATTCATTTATTCATACGTTCATTTATTCATTCATTCGTTTCGGAGCAACAAAAATATTTTTTATCATTCAATTTGTCTTTTATTAAATTAAATCACTCACTTAATTAATTAATCTTTCAATCAATCATTAAATTAATTAATTGATGATAATTATTTGTTAACGATAGGCTGTTATTGATATTATCTTCAATGGTTTTAAAGAATAATTAATATTAATTACAATATAATTATTATCATTATATTATATCTAAACAAACAAATAACCACCAAATGTCTGTGAACGTGTGCATGCGTGTCTGTGTGTGTGTGTTTGTATGTGCGTACGTGTTTGTGTGTGTGTTTCTATGTTTATCTATGTACACAACATTGGGACAGCATAGCATTCGCATAGTTGCTAGTAACATTAAATAAAACTTATACCAGCTAAATTGAATAGAATAACAATCTTATTATTATTATTTATATTATTATTATTATATTCATATTATTATTAATATTATTAAATCCGGCCCGTAATGAATGGAGACCATAAACGAGGATTGATTATTATTATTATTATTGTTATTTTTCCTATTTTAATATAATATTAATATTATAATTAATGATAATGGCTTGGAATGCAGAAATCCTGGCTTGCTCAGTTTCTCCTTGATACCTCTTGAGAAATAATTGGAAAAGTTTGACGGATGAATGCATGTACTTACTATAAATCTTTTTTATTATTATGCAGTTTAGTATTATGATATATTATTTATTATTATTATTTACTAATTATTATTTAATATTATTATGCATTGTTCTTCCGTCGCTCTGTGTTTGTGGAGTTGCATGTGAACGTGTAAAATTGTCGTATAAACAGACACTGCATGTACTGTCTGCAGTGTATGTACTGCGTGTATGCACTGTACACATTGGCGTATTGTTATCTATTGTATGTATGTACGTACGTACGTACGATAATTTATATTTTTTTATAATTACACGCACACACGCACACATAAAATGAATTGTATAACAAATCATTTGTGAAATATCGAAATAAGGCCTCTTTGCATGGTGAATTTGGATAACAGCAGTTTGATTAAATTATTTTCATGATGAACTTGTTGGATAATAATTCTATTCTCGATAAATTGAACAATTTTCAGAAAATTCTACTATGGAAAATTGAAATAACACACTTTAAATTGACTAATGCCAACAATTCAGTAGAATTCATACAATACTATATATATATATATATATATATATATATAGTATTGTATGAATTCTATATATATATATATATCTTACTAAGCATACTGTATAAAGCCACAACACATTCTTATTTATTCTTTTATATTTGTAACTATTAATTAAAGTAAACAACTTTGAGACTTACGTTATATACACACAAACAAACACGCACACGTATATATATATATAGTTTTGTATATATGCCAATGTAACATATATGGGTTGTGCATCAGATTTATCGTCTAGTCTAATTATATTGATAAAATTTTGCTTAGAATGGTTTTGTTAATTGTCGTGTGCTTGTGCGTGTATGTGTGTGCGTGCGTGTGTTTGTGTGTGTTTCTTTTTTAATTAATTTATTTTTGGTTATTCGTAATGACATTTCATAATGTTTCATTCGTTTTTCTTCTTATAATTGCTGGCTAAATTAACTTAAATCCGTTGCGTTGAAAATCATAATGATTATTATTGTTAACCTTATTGATATATGATTAATATTATTACTGATATTATTATTAGCATTATTATTATTATTATTATTTTTAGCATTATTATTATAAAGTTTGAAACAATAATTTTATTGACTATTGATGTTACAAAATAAATATGTATGTGTGTTGGTGCCTGTGCTTATTTGTTTGTACGTACGTTTGTATGTATGTATGTGTGTGTATGTATGTATGTGAGTATTGTCTTCGACTATTGACTTTGTTGCGCCAAACAATCTTATTAAATTTGTAAATAATGTAATCGTTTTGGGTTGAAAACATATTGCGAGCTAGCTGCTCTAGATAGGTTACTCGGCTGTGACCTTGACCTGGCCACACTGTCTC